GAGACGTTGACACTGTGGCCTGGCTACTACTCACCTGGGTGCTCCCAGCTTTAAGGAAAGAGAGAGTCCATTATTTGAAGCTGTCCAGGCCAAAAATACTCCAGCTGCTGCAGCTAAGGCAGAGGTAGCATCTGGCCTGGTTATTTTTGTTTCTCAGGCCAGCCAACTGAGGACATAGGAGAGATTCCAGTTTGTTGAGGACTTTGGATGGCAGATCACTGAGATCCACTTGTTAGTGTCCAATGAAGGACTTGGTGTGGGAAGTGTCTGTGTTCAATTGTTCAATAAATAACAGTGGATTTATTGTTCTTGGGCTGGGGGTGGAGAGGCTAGTGTGTTTGAGAGGGCGACACCCTTCATCACCATACCCAGACATATTTTTTTTTCCTCAAACTCTTAATGTTCTCCTGGGACAGTTTTAAACGTCAGGCTGTACCTAAATTATCAGAGACAACCTTAGTCAGGGATTTAGTTCTCTGCTAGGGACCACATCTTCTCATTAAGACTACAGAGTCCAGGCCCTAAAAGAGGGCAGTGGGTGCCTACTAGGGTAAGCATCCAGTAGGTCCTGTGTGGTAGTGAGTTTGGGCCTTGAGCTCATCTTACACATTTGGGTCCCAGATTAGTCTAAGGGAGAACAAGAGATCTTCTTTGATCAAGACTTCTGCCCTATCTATCACCTTCAGGCCTCAGTTATGTTACTACCCTTACTCCCTACTACCTCCAACACAGAAAACTAGAGAGTGTGGACACATGACCCTGTTCTCATGACTCACATTTTCTTCTGAGTTAAGTGGTGGCAAGAATAGAAGTCCCTTTGTGTTTCTTTCTGTGTTTCTTTCTTTTCCTTCCTTCCTTCCTTCCTTCCTTCCTTCCTTCCTTCCTTCCTTCCTTCCTTCCTTCCTTCCTCCCTTCTTTCCTTTTTTTTTGATAGATATGAGTCAGTATATAAAACATTTAAGATTTTTAACTCTCTCTCTCTCCCCTCCCCTCCCTTCTCACCTCTCCTCTTTTCATCTAAGATTGTCGCCACAGTAAAGTTCAGGAAACCTCAGGCTGCTGTCCTTAGAGAAGCAGCCACAGTGGAATGGCAGAAAACTTGAGCAGGGATTCTGGAGAAATAGGTTCCAGTTTGATTTTAGTTGGACATCTTCAGATTTAGTTCTTTGCTGAGAACTTTAAGAGAGCCCTGGTTCTGGGTCAATGCTCTATCTAAGAGGGAGGACACATGGTCAACACTAGCCTCTCTGACATGCTTATTCCTAACCTAGGGTGCGTCTTTTTCTACCAATTGATTTATTTAAGAAGCATTTCTTTTTTAAAATTATTTTAAAATATTTTCAGTTACAATTGACTTTTAATATTATGTTAGTTTCAAGTGTACAGCATAGTGGTTAGATAGACATTTATATAATTTAGGAAGTAATTCCCCCTGATAAGTCTAGTACCCACTTGGCACCGTACATTGTTATTATAATGTTATTAACTATATTCTCTATGCTGTACTTTATATCTCTGTGACTGTTTTGTAGATGCCAGTTTGTACTTCTTAATCCCTTTTCTTTAACAAATATTTAAGTTAAATATTTGGTCCTATGGGCCAGGTCCTGAAGATAGATGCTATATTGACATAACCTATGATTGACATGATATACAAGAGACACTGGCTTATTTTCTTTGAAAATTCTTCTCATTAGTTTGAATTAAAGAGAACTCAGGCTGTGGAATGTTGCCTTGGAGCTCCACTCCTTTCCCTCAGTTTCTCCCTGGATACGTTTTTTTTTGTTTTTTTTTTTTGTTTGTTTTTCCCCAAAAAAAGCCCTCTTCAGATTTTGCCCCACCCTGCTCAGGATCTCCAGGCTGGCTGGCCACTGCTGACAGAATTAAGGCTCAGTTTTCTCTCATAGCTTTCAAGGCCCTCAATTCACCTACCTTACCAGCTTCTTTGCTCACTCTTCACTCTGCAGGCCTCATTCTCCCTGGAATAGGCCTGAATGCTTGCTTCGAAGCAGGCCATCTGCACCTCTGTCTCCTCTGGCCATCACATATTTCTCTACCTGGGATTTTGGGTGCTCTTCACCCCATTGCTGCAGTCTCCTTTTTTCAAAATCCAGCTTATCTTTAGAGACCAGTACAGATACCACTGAACTGTGGTTCTTTATTTCCACAAAAGTTTTTTTCTATTCTGCTACAGTACTTCTCAGGGTGTCTTTTTTTGTATATTACAGTTTCCTGTTATTCAATAAGTGCCTTGGGGTCAGGGACTGGTCCTACAACTCTACTCTAACCATAGTTTCTTAATAAAGTGTTCCATTAATATTGGATTAATAAAATAAATTTATAGGAAGCTTTTTAACCTGGAGTTCTTGGGCCTCCATGGGGTACATGGATGCAATTTGAAGTGTGAAGGATCCACTTAGATGGAGGAGTATTAAATATTTGTTTTTACTAACCTCTCACTGAAATTTAGCCCCTCTTTCAATTATGAATGTAAGCAAAAGAAAAAAAAAAGAAGTAGTAATGGCAGTATCTGTGACTTTGTCACCAATGGAAATCTAAGATACTTTTATGTCACGATTTAGTTATTGCAGATTCTCAAAATATTTATGCTCAACACAAAGTTGAAATTACAGCAGTGATAACTAATAAGATACAGTGTTAAGTAATTAATATGTTAATAAAGAAGCACATATTACATTTTGATATCTATTTCAATATAATTGGTTTCTTTTTATCTACTTTATTTCATTCATTTACAAATATTCTGAGAAGGGGCCCATAGACTTCACCAGACTTCTCAGAAGGGCCCATGGCACAAAAAAGGTCAAGATGTAAAATGTTTCCACTTCTGAATCTGTATGCTACACCATATTTGTCTGTCTCTGATATCCCCTTGCTTAGTACTATTCAGTTAGCCAGCATCTTTTGTGTACCCATTGAGTCTTGGATACTAGAGAGGTAACTCTAAGTAAGACAGAAACCTTGAACTGAGAATAAAGTCCAGTGTACTAAAGACTCACTGTCCCTTTTCTGCTCTTTCCTATCCCTTCAGTCATGGTGTTTTGAGGACTCCCCTGACTCAGATCAAGTGTGATTTGAGGCTACATGTTGTAGCCAAATTCCATCCCATTGGGCCTCATTCTCCCTACCTTATGAGGGCCTGTTCTATGGAGGCCACTGGATTGGCAGGAAGCCTAGGGTGGCTAGCTTTGCCCATTGCCTCCCACTGGATTACTTGCCTTACTTGTTCCTGCCTTCAGGGCCTTTCCTGTCTCATTGTCAATCCTGAAATAGATTTCCTCCCTGGCTCCCTGGTGAGATTTATTTACAAAGTTGTTCCCCAGGCCTGGTCCTCATCAGAATTGTTTAGCTAGCAAAATGGCTGTCTGGCCTCCTTTTCCCCTCTAACTGACCTTTGTGCTCAGGAAAGGCCCAGAGGTGTCAAAGACTGATAAGGCTTAATGTTTTACCCATTCCATGGAGTTTTACATCTTTGACAATTCTATTTTTAGTCTCTCACCCCAAAAGTATAAGTAGTATGTGAGCATCTTAGATAATGTAGGAGAGCACACTCATAATATTACCACCCCCAAAACAAGCCTGACTAATACTTGGGTATGATTCTAATCACATCTCCATGCATAGTTTTTACAAAATTGAGCTTATACAATCCTATCACTTACTCTTCTTCACTTCATATTACTGAGGTATTTTCCCTGGGCATGAAATAGTCTCCATAAATATTTTATATGACTATATAACAAGTCATCTTATGGATGTACCATATAGATTACTTAAGCAAAATATCCAATGATTAAAAAAAAAAAACCTGATTTCTTTTAATGGGAGATATTATACACTTTGATGTAAGATGTGTAGCATATTGGTTTAAATTGTGAGGTTTGGACTTAGATCTTAATTCAAACCCCATCTCCCCACTTACTAGTGATATGACTTTAGATAAATATCTACTTTATCTTCAGCATGGAGATGGTACTTTGTACTTCACAGGGTGATCATTGATATTAAATGAGGTAGTACATATGACATGCCTAGTGAGTAGTAAGTCTCTATACATGAAAGCTGCTGCTTGTCTTTGCTATTACTATGACCACCACTACCAAAATTTTAGCCAAAGGAACAAATCTCTACTGATGAAATTTCAGCTATCATTGACTTGAGCTAAGGGTTCTGTTTGTAAAAGTGGAGAGTACTTTTGCTGATGCCTATGAAATTCTGTATGTGGCTGCCTTTTTTTTTTCTGGGCCTCTTTCAATGTCCTTTTTCCCTCTGCTGACTTGGCTATGGTAGTATCTCTATGCTATCCACACCTACCTCTGTTGAGGCCCCTTTCCTCTCTTGTGCCTAAGGAGACCAATAAGCATTAACAATACAAGTTGGTATATAGAACCATAGACATCAGTCCTGAGATGGTCCTTGGATGTCACCTAGTGTAGTTGACTGACCCCTCTCCCCCATTCCTGCCCTTATACAGATGGGGGGAACCAGGAAGGGAATAAAACTTATCCAAGGTTGTAGATTGACCCAGTTACAGTGCTAGGTTTAGATCCCAGTGTTCTTCATCCTGCCCTTAACTTGGCTCTGCAAAGACCAGTGCTGTAGGTAATCCAGGCTGTAGATAAGAGGTAAGGAGAGAATGCTGTGGGCTTGGAGCTGACTTAGATAGGGAAGACTTCCTGAAAGAAATACAGTCAACTCTTACTTCTTCTTGATAGTAAGCTGATTTGCATTCATTTGCTTGCCCCTTGGTAAGCATTGCTCTGTTATGTTTTTTGTCTTTAGTAGTAAGCTGGTTGGGAGCAGGGGCTGAGTTATCATTTGTTTATTCCAATATTCTCCTTTTTTTGCCACAAATATCTAAGTTGCTCAGGTTATTAGTATCCTAACTCCCTCTTCTGTGGTTAAACAGAGACACTTATCTCAGGATCTGCTGAACACAGAGCCAGACAACTAACTTGCTTCCTTTGATCTCATCCTAGATCAATGTGCGTGTGACCACCATGGACGCAGAGCTGGAGTTTGCCATCCAGCCCAACACTACTGGCAAGCAGCTGTTTGACCAGGTAACGTAGGGACTTGTTGCTCCTTAGCCTCTTTCACTTCTCCCAAAAGCTCCCACCACAATATTTGCTTCTTGGTAATCTGTTTTCCTACCCACTCCTTCAAGATAGGTCAAAACAAAGTTAAACAAAGTTTAACTTTGACAATTTGTACCTTGAATGGATCTGGTTAATCCTACCCTTGGTCCTGAGCTTGGCAGAAAAGAAAAGTAAACGGTTTATGATTCTGTGCTAGATGCTTTAAAAATGTTAGTACATGAAGCCTTCCTCTCAATTCTGAAAGATGTAAGTGATCTCTTCTCCATTTTAATGATGAGGCTTAGAAATTAAATAACTGCATCCAGCTGAACCCCATATTCTTGTAACTGCACCACATGGCCTCTGTTACATTTTGTTGTTATTTTCTAGTAGATGGAAACCAACTTATTCTCCCTGAGGTAGAGTACTCTATGTACCTTTCCTTCAGAGGAATATTAGAATTTAGGATACCCCTGGGGGTGATGAGTGCAATAGGAGGGTACTTCATCTCCTATAGTCATGCCATGGAGATGATACTGAAGTGATTATTCTTGTCTCCAACCCAAGGAGTATCCCTTCACTTTAAATCACAATTATCAGAAGGTATGTGCTATGTAATATAATAGCCAGGTAGGGGCCACAGAACCTTTCAGCAATCTTTCAGGGGGCAAAGGAATGTGCCATCTGTGACCAGACTTTCAGGAGTGAAAATGTGGCTTCCATTTCCATTTGCTAGGATCCCTCCAGATGGGCCATTATCTCATTTCCCTGCCAGCCTTTGGTGAGGTGGAGGTCTGACATTGTCCAGGATGTTAGGACCACATGTCACCTTGATGGATTTTCCAGGCCTTCTTGCTTCCGTTTTTCATTTGCCCTCTGAGTCCCTCTACTGTCTGAGAACTTCCCTAGAGTTGGGAAAACGAAGGAAGAAAGAGGAAAGAGGTTGCATTCAAATGAGATAATTCTGTTCCTGTGAATACTCTTTACTGGTGAGAGGAAAGATAAGGAGAGATAGGAGATAGAGATGGTAAGAAATAGATCTCCTTGTAAAAGGAAGGAAGAGATAGCTAGAAATCTGAGTCCCTGATGTCACATGGTAGAGTGAAAAAATTGTTGTTTATGGCTGATACGAATGAGAGTTAATATTTGTCTAAGGCTTACTTACTGTATGCCAGGTACTCTGATAGGCATTTTGTGTACCATATCATTGACTATCACAAAGCCTTTTGAGTGCAGGAATTAGTATTGGCCCCATTTTACAAATGAGGAAACAGAATCTTCATTTTCCTATCTAGGACTTGTGAAAATTATTGAACCTCTCTGGGTTGTTATTTTCATCCAAAAAAGAATGGTGATGGGGAGTACTAATACCTACCTCATAGGCTTTTTATGAGGTTATGAAATATTATATTATTTATATCATGCTTATTACCCAAAAATACTTGTTATGGTGATTTATAAGGATATATAAAATTCAAATGGATAAATTAGAAATAGGTGAGAAAGACAATAAGAAAATACAAGGGCAGCAAGTGTTATGTGAAACATCCAGCATGTAATAGAGATATAATAAATGATAGCTCCTAAATGCTATGATACTTCTTGTCTTGCTAATCAACTTGAGTTGGGAGATGGACTTGAAGATCCTCAGAGTATCTAACTTTGAATTTAGCTGGAACTTGCTTCTTTGGAGTTTGTTTTGTTTTGAATAGTGAAGAATAACTATTGATATTTAATTTGTGAAGGTACAAACTAGTCAGAGAAACGTTTAAACACACATTTACTATAATTAAAGTAATGTGCTGACATTCATGTAGCTTGCAAGTGATTACAATGCTAGTCTTGGATGACTGAATGAATTTTGATTATATTAAGGTTTTGCATTCTCCTTTTACATACAGGTTTTATATCGGAGAGCTTTCAAAGGGACAGCCTTGTGAAGTTGAAAGGGCGCTGGATAGAAAGTTAGAAATCTTGGCCCTTAGGGCTGGTTCTACTGCTAACTCTCCTGACAACTTACACAAAACTTTCCCCTCTTTGAGCCTCAGTTTACCCATCTGTACAATGGCTAACTGATCTCTCTAATCTGGTTATCTTTCAAAAATTTACCTTCAACATTTGTTTCTGCATTCCATATCTCTTTCCCATTTTTAACCTCAATGTTTGGATTTCACGTGACCTCTTTATATAAAAAAGAAGGAAATGCCTCACTTGTGTATAATTAACAGTTGATATACGTGGGGTGGGCGAAAGCTGCCTGGCATGGGGACATCTCTTAGACAGGCTTCTTAATGTCTCTGGGACGAAAAAGAGAAAGTGTCCATATATTACAAAAGCTGTTTGGCCCTTTGATTCAGAAAGCAATGTCATTCTGGGCAGCAGCTATAGAGGGGAGAATATCAGCCAGTATGGATTTTATGGTGCAGCTGGGAGCCAGAGGCTCCCTCTGGATTGTACCCAGACTCTTTCCTAGAGCCCTGGTTTTACAACCAACCCCTCTCAAGGCAAATGGTGCCATCCCCTGCCCTCAACACTGGGGGCTTTGTTCATTTGCATTGGAGGGGGATAGCTGTGGAGGGTGCAGAAGGCATAATTTAGAGCCTAGGGCAGAAAAATCCTTGAACAAAGAGGTTTATTAACTGAAAAGCCACGAGGCCTGGTAATTCTTTGTTAATATTTGTTTGGTGTATGTACTGTGGGTGTGGTTCTGAAGGAAGCCTGATGGTAGAGAGCCCTGACCAGATTGGTGTGCTAGTTCTGAAAGCTACTACTTCCCAAACAAAACCCTTGAGAGACTTGAATCTTTCATACTGGTTGAGGAGAGGAAAAGGTGAAAACCAAGAAATTCATGACTTCCCATTTGGAAGATGAGTTTTGTTTTGAGAAATATCATATATTGAGCATCTACAATGGACTAACCCTGGCATTTTAATTCTTGCACTGATCCTGCCTATGAGAGGTGAAAGAACACACGCTAGGTTAGATAGTAAGTTGTGATATGGAGCTCCAAATACATCTTTGACTGCAAAACTGCTTTCCCCCACTACACTGCTCTGCTTAGGGTGAATGAGGCTGTTTTGTCTTGGAGAAGACTCTAGGTGTGTTCTCTGTCTTGAGATCTCTGAGAGGCTGTCATAGGAAGGAGGGGGCAATCATGTTCTGTGAGGCCAGAAGGGACAGAGCTGGAACTCCATAGGTGAAAACTACAGGGAAAAAGATTTGAATTTAGATAAGGAATTAAGCTTCTGGCACTCTTGGGACCAAGGCAGGTCTGGACAGGAGTACACAGAGGTACATGTTCACAAGCCATTGGGGGATAGGATGTCTTCTCAGTAACCTGACAAGGCATAAGGGAAGAAGTTCATTCTGTCTGGGCTTTGAGACCCATCATTCAAGTAGGCCCTCCTGATGGACTTGGGGCCTAGGAATAAGGAGCTGGACTCTTTGGGAGGAATTGACAAAAGCTGGGACCATCCTGGAATCCAGCAGTTGTCTGACTGATAACCAGAGAAGAAGCCAACTGCAAAGGAAGTGCCCTCCTCAGTACCAGCGATTTCAGGCAACAGTGGGAAGCCATAGTTTGAGGAGGCCCAAGGTCTGATGGGAAAGGGAATTGAAGCCCATAGTTCTTCCAGTTTACCTTTGTTCCTTCTTGTGAGTGTATTCACAGCTAGGGAGGGGAGAGAAGATGTTGCAAGAGCGATTCTGTCACCTCGACTTTTAGAGCCTGAGGTTATTCAGAGGGCTCTTGATTACCTACATGACACTAGTGGGCAATGTCACCACCATGAATTCCTCTTTGAGAGCCATCTGCTTGGCTCCTCCTAACCAGGGGCTCTAGCTCTAGCCTAATTCTACCTTCTCCCCTCCCTTTAAGGTTTTGAGCTCTAGAAGAGAGGTGAAATCTCAGGGTATCCATTCATTCATCTATTCACTGACTGAAGGTCTATTGTGTCTCAGAGAGAATCTCTCTAGACCCATCAAATACCATCTCTACCCTTAAAGAACTTGGAGTTTCTTACCTATGGAAGCATAGAAAAGTACATGCAACTCTCCTTCCACATAGAATGCAAGAAACACCTTTCAGGCTCAGGTTGTGTATAAAGGTGGTATATAGAGCATGAGATTTGGTCTTGGCCTTGGGTTCAAATTATACCCCTGCTATTTAGCTGTGTGACCTTGGATACCTCATTTAACCTCTTAAGACTTTACTTTTTTCAGTAAAATCGTAATCACACTAATCTCAGAGATGTTATGGTTTTATTTAATCCTCAAATAAGTAAGGTACCTGGTACATTTCAGGCATTCTCATGTTGATTGCTCTTATCAAGGGCTAAATAAGTAGGTAGAAATTACTCTAGATGTTCAGTTAAGGGAGCCATAAAATTAGGAAGCTTTTCCGGATCAGTAAAGTCCTTAAGATTTGTGGACTCTACATCAAAAGCAGCAACCCTTTCTTTTTTCTCTCCCATTTTTATTTTATACAATAACTAATATCTATTATTATAATAGTAGTGTCTCCATCTTATAGATGAGGAACTGAGACTTAGAAAGGGGGATAAGACCTATTTAAGGTTAGATAGCTAGGAAGTGGTATAATGCCTTGACCCAAACCATATAGCATTTTAGTTTTCTCTATGCTTTCTCTCAGCTGTGTCCCCTTTCTTTGCCTGTTTCCATTTTGAATGGAGGTAAGTTTGGTCCCTAAACTTAGAACTCTACCTGAGTGTGTTCTGTGCTATAGAGCAGGTGGCCATTTGAGCACAAGCAGTGTGGAGTAGCAGAAGCAACAATGGTGGCAGCCTCTCCTTGAACTTTATAGCTGTGCATTGATTTGCTGTTAGGTGGGTGGCTGATGTAGCTGCTGCCAAGCCTGTAATGGAATCTCAGTGGACCTCAGGTGTTTGGACATTGACTCAGTTTTGCATATAATTTCTTATACAGTTTTCCTCTTGAGGCTCCAGTATTGCTTCCTAATCCTGTTCTGGGTTGCTGAAGTTGTTGATTGCATCACTAGTTTGCTTATTCAGATAGATGCATGGTGGGTATATGGAAAGAGGGTGCTCTGAACTTTGGGATGTACCTTATCTTCCCTCCCCTCCACAGACCTCAGACATAGGCAGCCTTTACCTGCAAAAAATAGTCAATGGGGGTTCTTTCTTACATCCAGATGCTCCTGGTAATTAGGGAGGATTTTCTGAGGCAAATCTCTTCCTCTCACTGGACTTCAGTTTTCTAGTTTATGCTGCTTGAACCCTATAGATCTCTATTGTCTGTTTTGGGGGTTTGTATTTTATGGCTGAATAGAATCCACAGCCAGTGTCTTACAAACTGGAGTCCTAGTCCTTCTAGGTATATGTGGCAGGTTCTAGGAGGTACACAGAGCTGTGGGATGAATGTTTAGTATCTTGGAGCATCAATTTTACTTGTAGATATTATCTATTTCATTATTAAAACAGATTTAAGGAGTAGAATGCAAAATTTGCACAAAGAAATTCTGGTTTGCAGCCCTCTACTTATATGTCACCCCACCCTTGCTCTTTCCTTGTGGCTCCTGGGTATATGCATTCATTATTTTCTGCTGCTTAATGATTTTTACCATGGCAGCTTTGAGAAATACTAGCTCAGGCCAGATGAGCTGGCCTTCTGGGATAAAAGGAAGTCAAGAAAGATTTTTTTCCTCAGGGATGGAGCCATTTCAGAGTAGAAGAGTAGGATCATAGTCACTGGATCCTCAGATGTTGTTCCTGGATACTCTCTCCTAGAAAATGAGGTTTCTCTTTCCTCTCAAGTGGAGGTCCCACCTGGAAGCAAAGCCGGAAATAAGTAAAGCTTGGCCTCATTTCCAAGTCTTGATATTTCCTTGTAGCCTGGGGCCCAGGGGTCATCTGTTTTATCCTTTGTTCTTTTTTCAGTCTCAATCTGATTTCATACCATATTTCCTTCTCCACACACCCTCACTTCCTCACTTTGGGACTTCAGTGTAAGCTGAGATACATTGTTCATTTCCAGGCGCTGGAGCCTAAGGAAGTAGAAAATTTATATGCACCTGATTTCTCTATGTTCATAATGGAAGAGACAGTGCTCAGAGAGATTAAAATTCCCTATTGATACTGAATTTTTTTGGGGGGATAGCACTTTGTTATTACTTTGTCCAACTTTTCCTCAGAGATACTCAATTCTAGAACTATTTTGGTTCCCATGAGCCTCTTGTCATCACATTTCTGCCCATCCCACTAGTGAACCAGGCAACCTGGTGCAAAAAGAGGCTAAGGAGCTCACTCCTTGGGCCTCTGGGACTGGTTGCATAGTCTGTGCCTGCCTCACTCTCTTTTAGATCTGGAGTCTCTGAGCCTCTACAACTGGGCTGTTGGTACAGGCAAAGGCCAGTTGCTGCTCTACCATTTCTGTTCCCAGTCTGCCCCACCTTGACCTACCATCCTAGCCCTAATTGTCCATCTTCAGCATCTTCAGTGGGTCTCTTTCTCTCCTGGGGCTGAATTGTTTCTTGGAACTTACTTTTCCCCACCGATTGCATCTGGACACTATTTTTCTTCAACCCTCTGGAAAACCATTAGAACTGTTAATTGGGCCCTATCTGACATCTAGGATGAGATAAGAGGTAATTTTTCTTTCCCTTTTTTTTTATTTTTTAATTTTTACTTTTTAAATTAGAGTTGACATTCAGTATTTTATATTAGCTTCATATGTATAGCATAATAGTTAGACATTTATATAATTTATGAAGTGATCCCCCTGATTAGTGTAGTACCCACCTGGCACTATACATAGTTATTGTAATATTATTAACTATCTTCCTTTTAAACAATCTTTCCTGTTCATACCCTCTCTCTCTACCCTTTGCAAAAAAAGGACAATATCACATCTCAACACAAGCATTTTGTATTTTCCATTTAAAACATGGCAATTCTTACTGTTTATTGACTTAAATCAGGGACTCACCTTGCCATTGATTCCTGGAAGTCTTTTGATCTTTCCATACCCACCTCAAACTATCTTTTCTAAACATGTTCCTAGTTACTCAAGTCAGCAAGAGGTAAGTGGGAAATGGGATTTCTTAGTCATCTAATATAATGTTAGAACTTGAGAGAAGAAAGAGACCATTTAAGCCACACCACTTATGGTAGATGGGGAAGCTGAGGCCCAGAGAGAGAAAAGTGCTGCCTTGAGATCACACAGCAAGTTGGAGGCGGAAGTGAGACTTTCAGGTTTCCCGATGCCCAATTTAAGTTACAAAAGGGAAGGGTGACTACCATGCATGCCCCAGTGAACAGTGAAGGTTTTGATGACTTGAGAATATGGCTTCTCTCCAAAGTGATTTTTGACTGAGCCTAGTGGGATAGCCAAAAACCATATCTAGATGCAAAGGTGGTCAAAGTTCATTATTTGGCTGGGATATATGGGCTAAAAGAGAGCCAAAGCAGTTAGTCACTTGAGCTCCCTAGGGCTCCTAAGCTTTTAACAGCCTTTGGCATTCTGAGATAGCATGCTAGAGAAGAAAGATGCGTGGAGTCACACACATCAAGATTCTAGTCTTTGCTCTGTGGTTTTAGAAAGATTGCCTCTCTGAGCCTCAGTTTCCTCATTTATAAAATGGAGATAAGAGCTATTTCAGGATCGTTCAATGTTCAGTACTTAATACATATGAACTATTTTTTCTTGGGGCCTCAGAAGTTCTAAATTGTAAACTCTGATAGTGACACGGGGCCTGGCTTAGATGCATAGTGGAAAATTTGTGGATACAGTGGAGGTGTGTGTGTGTGTGTGTGTGTGTGTGTGTGTTGAAGGGTGTATATGTGTTTTGAGGGGAGATAGTGATTTATTCATAGGAAAGGATGTCAGCAACATTGTGTCCTTGTTCCTTGTTTCTATCTCCAAGTAAATTCTTTCACTTCACCCTCCCATCTCCACATCCTCCCCCTAAAAAACGAAAAGATAAAAAAGACCGCCTGATGCCAGCATGACTTCATTAGGATGTGTCTCAGCTTCATTGCCTCCATTCTCCATGGTAGGGTTGAGCCACCAGCCAGAACCATTAACATGCTAATGTCAGAGACTGGAAAACAGATTCTGTTTGTCCCACTGGCTGGCTTCCCTTTTCTTCCCACTGCTCAGCCAAGAGGCCCAGAACATCAGGGGGCCCCTCAGCTACTACTGAGGTACTCACCCTGTTTCCACCCTCATTTCCACTCTTAGCTTGTATGAGTAGTAACAGAAATCATGACTGGACTCAAATTGAGGCTGGAAAGAAGCATCTCAGCCCTCAGCACAGCACAGCTTTTGAGTGCATACATAATACCATCCTTGCTCTATCTCCTCAAACATTGTTTCTTGGGGTACTGTAAATGGGACTCAGTCTGCCGAAGGATGTGGGCATTATTTCTAGTTGCTAAAGAAAGAAGAGCAACCCAGGAGGACAAGATGCAGGAATTAAACCAATCACCTCTACCTTCAATCTTTAATCCATCCTGGGAATGGGAAGCTGCATGGCATAATAGAGGGAGGGAAGTGGCAGAAAGCACTGGATTTGAATAGGTTTGGAGTCAAACAGAGCTGACTCTGCTACTCACTAACTAAACCTTCACTTCTCTGAACCTTAATTTCACTATTTGCAAAATGGACCTAATTGTGTTTATATCATATGGGTATCGTGAAAATTAAAGGAGATAATGGATATCAAGTTTTGGGGTGTGGCAGTGCTCATATGTAATAGATCCATTCCCTACCTCAGCACAAGTACTTTGTGCAGAGAGATGCTGACATTACTTCTTGACCACTGCCCAAGTGTGTGTGTATGGTGTTTTTTTTGTTTGTTTTTTGTTTTTTGTTTTTGTTTTTGTTTTTGTTTTTGTTTTGCCAGATCTTGGATACTTTTTGTCCTTTAAGGTCAGGTGCCAAGTTGCCTCCATCTTTGTGTCCTCTGTGTCTGGCATAGGGTAGGCATTCAATTAGTGGTTGTTTTGTGTTTTCTCTTCCAGGTGGTGAAAACTATTGGCCTGCGGGAAGTTTGGTTCTTTGGTCTGCAATACCAGGACACTAAGGGTTTCTCCACTTGGCTGAAACTCAATAAGAAGGTAACCGCTTACCCCACTCTCAGGTTTGGAATTTGTTCCTCTGCCAGGTCTTGCTCAGGGGGGTAACATGTGTTAGCTGGCAAATCCAGCGTATCTATGGCTGTGTTTTTCACTGGGTGGTCTGTTGGTCACTGGATCAGAATAAGAGCAGAGGACTCAGCCAAGGCAAAGCTCTTGCTCTGTCTCTACTTTGACCTCTCACAGTAAGAATGGCCAAGGTCCAAGGAGGAAGGGACCTTTTCCTTCCCACTAGCATTTTCTTGAACTTTGAATTGTTTTAGACCGTAGCCTTTAGCAGTTCTTTAGGGGGAGATTGGTATCTTTTTTCCCTCCTAAACTCAAGGGGTTTGGGAGATTTGTTAAAAAAAGAGACTTGCAGACTTTTGAACTGGAATCTCAGAGGTCTTATAACCTTATTTTGTCTCTTCTCCAACCTGTCAACTGATGCCTGAACCACATACAGATCTTCTTTCTTGATTTTCTATCTCAATTGATCTCCAAATGGGGTGAACTGAGTATAGGTCCATTCAAGCTCTCCACCTCCAAGTAGCATCTCTGCAGGAACATGGAAATCCTTCATCTCAATATCCTGAAACTGGCTGACTTTGTCCTTAGAGGTCTCTATACTGTCCTGAGACTTGTTTTCTTGATTGTGTCTAGGGCATGGGGGCCTCACCTTCTGATGGCAGAGTCTTGTTTTCCCAAAGAGTAGAGACTTTTGCTGAACAAATCTGGAAGTGTTAGGAACCAATTTCAGGCTTTCAAAGACAATCTAGTTCTCTTACCTACCCAATTTCCAGGCTTCAGTCATTGTGGAGTTGGAGGAGCCTTAAAAGAGCTTTCTTTAACCTCCCCTTAGAATGTGTGGGCAGTTGTATATATTATCAGATGATGGTGGCTTGGGGGCTTATGATCATCTTTATTTTAGGAAGAACTCCCCAACAGAAAGCAATTATAGACATGGGATTGGGTCCCCAATGAAAGTAATGTCTCTTTTCTGAATTACCAGGAGAGTTGCCACCTATTTTGGGAGGATTAACCAAATTGATGACCTTTCAGTGTCTTCTCCCCACCCTACTTCCACACCTCAAAGTCTGTTTTTCGAGAGCTCATAACTCCTTGCTGCTTCCAGGTGACTGCGCAGGATGTGCGGAAGGAAAGCCCTCTGCTCTTCAAGTTTCGGGCCAAGTTCTACCCTGAAGATGTATCCGAGGAATTGATCCAGGACATCACACAACGCCTGTTCTTCCTTCAAGTGAAGGAGGGCATTCTCAATGATGATATTTACTGCCCACCTGAAACTGCCGTGCTGCTGGCCTCCTATGCTGTCCAGTCCAAGTATGGCGACTTCAATAAGGAAGTCCACAAGTCTGGCTACTTGGCTGGAGATAAGTTGCTTCCACAGAGGTGAGGTGGTGCCTGGCTCTCTGCTCTGGCCAGAGGTGACTGTGGCCCAAGGCTGACCAATTTCTATTACACAGGGACTGCTAGATCTGTTCCTCTCCACTAGGGTCTGTCTGAAGACCATGATGTTATACAAGTCAGAGAAACACATTTGCTTATAACATCATACCCCATTGTTGTTTCTCGGCCTCTCAAAATATAAAAGCTTTTATCTCCCTCTGTTTGCCTGACTATAGAACTTCATTACCCTGGAAAGAGGTTCTTATATGGAGAACAAGAGATGGATTGATTTTCCCTCCTCCCTGGTTCCAATTTTCTCAATTCTTTTCACTTATTTAGACCTTTTATATCACAAGTTCACAGAGGAGAGAAATATGTAAGCCAGAGACATGGGGACCTCAAATGGTCTTTTAATATTGATAACCAGTGTATAGAAATTTCTGCTTTTGTAAACTTCAAAGTCAAATGCTCTCAAACACTAATTATTTTTATTTTAGCATCACAACAATGCATGAAATAAATAAGGCAGACACTATATTTCCTGACTACGGAAATAGAGGGGCAGAGGTGTTCACTCTGACTTTCTCCTATATCCCATAGCTCATTTGAAGCACAACCAGGTCTGGAACCCTTGTCTCTTGACTTTTTAACATGGAATTTTTTTCCCTACTGCATCCAATGGCAATTTTTATAGGTTTTTGAAGTGGAAGGAAAACACTACTTCATTCTGGGAGCCTCAGTCCCATGGAGCTGTAGCATATGCACAACTCACCGAAAGGTATTAGGGATAGTGGTTGTGCCCTGGAACTCCATCTGAGTTGCTGCCATGATGTCAGAGATGGTATATTTGAAACAAGTCTTGTTTATGATCTAGTAGATCTAAGAGGTTGAGCCCGTTAGTTTCTCCCAAAGCATTTTGGGCTCTGTTTTTTGTTCTGTAGCTACAGGCTATAATCTCATCTGTGAGCAATATTCTCATAAACACAAACTGTTGGTCACACAAGGGTCTAGTAGAGAGTATGTATGCCTCTATGAGGTCCATCCCTACTCAGTAACACAAATCAGTACAGATTCTTAATATATTATTGTTCTGTTTGGGGACTACAGCACATTGTTGGATTTTCTGGTTAAAGGTATGAAGAAAAGTATTTCCATTGTTTTTTTTTTTTTTTTTTGGTCACACATTCTTGTATTTCTCTTACCTCTCAGGCAGTTCCCTATGCCTAATTAATATCTCCTGCTATAATTTCAATCTGCTTCCAGTGTGACCTCAGTAGGCTGATTCCACAACTTCTTTGTATCAACTCCTTAGAGAGCTAAGTGGGTTTTCCTTAACCCCTGCAAATTGGGCTTTGTGCTTTAAACTACTCACTACCCATTGTCTTTCCAGGGTCCTGGAGCAGCACAAACTCAACAAAGACCAGTGGGAGGAGCGGATCCAGGTGTGGCATGAGGAACACCGGGGCATGCTCAGGTAAGCCTTCCCTAGCAACTATGGGCTTCCACTGCCCTTTCAGGGAGAATGAGAGTTGGTTCTGGGGGGATAAGAGGCAGAGGACTGGGAACATTGGAGAATATTAGAGAGAAAGAGACAGGAATGCAGTGTACAGGGGCATGTAGAGATAGAAGGCTAATCAGAACCATTATAAAGCTATATTTTTGTAAATGATGATAACTGATAGACCAGTTTTGACCATAAAGAAATGGAGGGGCCCTAGGGATCCCTAGGGAGCTTCTGGACTACCAGAGTCTCCTCCCCAAGAAAGAAATGGAAATTAGCTCTCTAAACATGGTAGACTCTTTGGGAGCTGTCTAGTTGAGGAACAAAGCTTATTTTGCTATCACCACCCCATCTGGGCTCTGCTAAGAATGTGCCTATATAAGAGGTTCTATGGCAGCTAACATGCTAAAGGCCAGCAAGGGTCAGCGTACCCTTATTCCCCTTGAGAATTTCAGACCTCAGGCTCCATGTTGTCCTCTATTCACCATCATTTGCTTACCCTCCATTCCCTTTCCCACCCCTAAGTCAAGATACTTGCCAGAAGAACAGAGCAGATATGTTCTCTATCTTCCTAGGTCTGATTCACAGACTTCCCTCTATAACCACCCCCAATTCTGTCATTTAGGGAGGATGCTGTCCTGGAGTATCTGAAAATTGCCCAGGACCTGGAGATGTATGGTGTGAACTACTTCAGCATCAAGAACAAGAAAGGCTCGGAGCTATGGCTGGGGGTGGATGCCCTGGGTCTCAATATCTATGAGCAGAATGACAGGTATAGCTCAGAGCTCTTTTAGTTTATTTGGACCACTCTGACATTAAGGGCTCACCACAGAATAGGACTGTACCTCCTGGGTTCCACCAGGGTATTTCTTTTCCTATTTAGTTTAGACCAGCCCAAATAATTGCACAACTTACCTCAGGCCTCTAAATCATGCATTGACTAGATTTGCACTATTCACTATGGTAGCACTGGCCACATGTGGCTATTGAGCACTTGAAATGTGGCTACTCTGAATTGAGATGTGCTACAAGTATAAAGTACACACCAGACTTTGAAGATTTAATATGAAAAACAGAATGTAAAATGTCTTCTTAATATTTTTTGAAATAATTTGTATAAATGATAATATTTTGGATATATGGAGTTAAATGAACTGTTATAACAGTTAATTCCACCTATTTCTTTTTATTTATTTTCATATGACTACTAGAAAATTTTAAATTACATGTGTGGCTCTCATATTTCTAATGGATAGCACTGGCCTAGAACCTACTTTTTCAGAATTTGTAATTAATCCCACTCCTGTATGATGATTAAATGCCTTTTGGCCTATAATCCTTTTTACTATAACCTATGACTCTTGCTTATTCCCCCTCCCCCTTCCCCTTGGTCTGCTCTTGGTGAAGATGGAGATCAATAGGTTATTGTTTTGTGTAACTTCTGAATCTTGGAGCTCATTATTTACTTTCTCCTCCATTTTACAATCTTGGGTGGAAGAGTCCCAGTTAAATAGGGCTGATGTGGAAGAGTCCTAGGTAAACAGGGCTCTGTGAGAGATTGTTATAAGGTCTGTGCCACAACAAAAAAATATAATAAAACATACCTCAGAGATTTGGACAAGGAGTAATGTGTTGGTTGTGGTATAAGGAGGTCTTTTTTGTACCCTCACTGCTGGCAGCTGACCTGACGGCACATGACACTGACTGAGCTGACAATGAATCTAACTCCTTGGAGGAGAAGTTGGTTGACAGGGGTTGGGCAAGGCACCAACCCTCTATGTACTTCTTGTTTTGCCCTTGTCCTAATGTTCTTGGTCTCCATTTCTATAGACTGACTCCCAAGATAGGCTTCCCTTGGAGTGAAATCAGGAACATCTCTTTCAATGACAAGAAATTTGTCATCAAGCCTATTGACAAAAAAGCCCCGGTAAGTGATTCTTCCCACTGGCAAGGCCTGGATAATGCTAGGAGTAATCATGTCATTGTATTTTTCTCTTCTTTTCCTGGTGCACGTGCATGTGTGTGTTTATGTACAGGAGGCACAAAAGGAGATTGGTGATGGAAAGGGATGTCGATGCCAAGAAATGGCTAGGAGGCACCCTGCTACCTATGTCCTAGGAGAAGCATGGATGAGAGTCATAGACAGTCTAAGTGCTGCCTATTAGTGACTGTCTTCTGCTCTGGGGTAGAAACAGAGAGTGCATCTTATCTTTTAAAGCCTCTAGGCTCCAGAAAGTGGAAACTGTTCATATACTTGGTTTATATTTAATTACGGAAAGAGGACATAGCCAGGAGAAATCCAGGTCCAAAGATGATCCTCCAAATTTTGTGCTTTGGTATAACTTCTCTGCTGTCTTCTCAAGAACAACTCAAGAAGAAGAATATGCTTTAGGTTCAGTCATTCCTCTAACATGCTTGGCAAGTACTTGTCACACTTCACCCACTCATTTGCCTGTGGCTGACAAGACTGGACAGCTGGTGAGTGGTAATAGTATAGGAAATTGAGATGAAGTCTCTTCTTTTGGTGTATCCCATGTTCAACAAGGGCCAGTGGCCATGTTGAGCCAGACCCTTCTCATGAGGCCTCCCTCAACCATTCTTCTCCATTCTTGCCCTGAGGTCTCTGAACTTCCCCTACTAAGCACTTTATATATGTTGTCTCCTTAAAACCTCAACAATATTGTCAGGTAGGTAGTAGCATACCCATTTTATAATGGATGAAATGAGTTCAGAGAGATGTAGTGATTTGCCCAAGATCACATAGCTAAAAATGGTAGAGCCGAGATTTATATGTAGGTCACTTGACCTAGAGCTCGTTCTCCTTCCACTGTACCCCAAGCTATAGGAGATGATAGCAATTTGGGTTCAGTGGCAGAAGACCTAGTGGTTAGCCCATTAGCCAGTGACCTTGGTCCACTGGTATTTATAGTAATAAACTTAAATTCACTGGATTTTCATGCGTATGTGTGTGTGCGTGTGTTTTACTGCTGCCGTGTTCAACTATAACCAGAAAAAGGTAAGTAACAAAGCCAGCTAAGATCAATGGCTTATTTAAAAAACAATAACCATTAGGACATTTGATGTTCAGGAGATTTATATATTCATGTATGTGTTTACAACCTGCCTTATTCCAAAAGGATTTAAGGGGCTGGGTCTAGGATATGCTTTTAGAAGATTATAGAAACAGTCTATCCACCCATATTGCACAAGGGTATTATTTAGGGATTTTGGGGCCTTGAAAAGAGGCCCCTAAGACCTAGAAGGATCCTTAGGTACCAGATAAAATGAAGTCCTATCTTCGTACTGGATTAAGGGTATTTCAGGATGCAAAGGTTGAAAGAAATTGTGGTTTGGTGGAAAGAGCACTGGTTTCAGAGTCAAGAAGCATGGGTTCTTGTCCTGGGTCTGCCACTAACTTGCTGTTTGACCCTGGCCAAGTCACTTCACCACCTGGATAATTAACCTTTTTATCTGTAATAGAAAACTAGGTTAAATAATCTTTCTAGTGCTTTTTTGGACTTAACTTTTCATAATGCGGTAGCTAGCCTTCATCTGTCCCTCCAAACTTTTTCTGATTGCTGGTTTCCCACCAGGACTTTGTCTTCTATGCTCCTCGGCTGCGGATTAACAAGCGGATCTTGGCCCTGTGCATGGGAAACCATGAGCTATACATGCGCCGTCGCAAGCCTGATACCATTGAGGTGCAGCAGATGAAGGCACAGGCTCGGGAGGAAAAGCATCAGAAGCAAATGGAGCGGTAGGTGCTGTGGAGCTGCAGTGGGGACCAGGGCCAGAGCAAGGAAACTTTTCAAAGGTAGCAAGCTAGCTAAAAGCGGGACATGAAGCCATTTTGGGTCTAAGAGGTGGGGAGAGGGTTGGGAGTGGGAGAGAGAGCTGCACAGCAATAACTCCCACTCCAGGAAACAGGCATCAGAAGCTTAGGATTTCAGAGGCTCTTAAAAGGGAGGGAATTTTATAGTTCCCGTTGTCTATGACCCTCATGCCATTGTTTTTCTAGGCAAACTCTGAGTTGCTCCAGGCTATCTGACCAGTACAGTGGCAATAGCAGAAGGCTCCATGCACTTTTAAACCTGGACTCTATAGGGTTTTTTTTTTTTGAGTGGAATTGGGCAGAGCCACCAGAATTTTTGCTACAAAGCCCCTATGCACTGGAGGCCCTTGTTACTCAAAGTGCAACAGGGCTCAGCAGCATTAGCATCAACTTGGGACTTGTTATAAAAGGCAGGATCCAAGACCCTATTCCAGACCTATTGATTCAGAATCTGCATATTTAGGTTGTAGGTAATCACTTCTCCAAAGAAGATATGCAAATGGCCAACAGGCACATGAAAACATCTTTAGTCATTAGGGAAATGCAAAGCTCTAGTCATTAGGGAAATGCAAATCAAAATCACAATGAGGTACCACTTCATACTCATTAATATGGATATAATAAATAAAAACAGAAAATAACAGCTGTTGGCAGAATGTGGAGAAATTGGAACTCATGTATATTGCTAGGGGAAATGTAAAATGGTTCAGCTGCTGTGAAAGATTGGTGGTTCTTCAATAAGTTAAGCATAGAAAACAGGTGTTCAAACAAGTACATGTGTACTTGTGTTCATAGCAATGTGGAAACAGCCCAAATGTCCATTAATGGTTGAATGGATAAATAATGAATCCATGCAATGGAGTATTATTCAGCCATAAAAAGATATGAAGTACTGATACAATGTGGATGAACCTCTAAAACATGCTAAGTGAAAGAAACTAGACACAAAAGATCACTTAATATGTGATTCCATTTATATGAAATATTCAGAATAGTTAAATCTATAGTGACAGAATGTAATTAGTGGTTATAAGGGGCTTGGAGAAGGGAGATGGGGAGAAACTGCTTAATGAATATGGAATTTTACTTTGGAATAATGAAAATGTTTTGGAACTAGATAGAGATGGTAGTTACACAGCTTTGTGAATGTCCTAAATGCCACTGAACTGTTTGCTTTAAAATGGTTAATTTTATATTATGTGAATTTCATCTCAATAAGTTTTTTAAAAAACAAAATCACATTTATTCAGAAAAATTTTTTACAAGATTGGGGCCAGTTTACAGAGCCGAATCTGGTAGGAATCTGCCCTCAAGGACCTCACAGTCTAGTAGAAGAAAGAGGAAAAGCAGTATATACCTAACTGTTCAAGGTACAATGTGGTGTCATTCATTCACTCAATAAATATTTACTGAACAGTGAGAAAAAAAGAATGTTCTCATGAAGCTGTTATTTTGGGAAGAGACAGACAGAAAAAAATAATTATATATATGTGACATGACAGTGGTGACCTTAAATAGACAGCCAGATATTTCTCCAGCAAAATGGGTTTATTTGGGAACAACAAAGAATTGCAATTCAAGACATGCAATCTAATGGCAAAGAACAAGCAAGTCCAGAGAAATAAAGAGGAGGAACACTCTTTTATGGACTTGAGAGGTGCTGTTGTAAACAGAGTCCATTGAGAGAAACTGAAAGTTTGAAATATAATGAGTTTTCATTGGCTGAATTATGGCAGTCTCCCATTGGCTGAGCTGTTACTGGGCAAAGAGGAATCTTCTTGCTGCGGTAGTAAAGTAGTATCACTTCCTGTTGGAGATGCTAGGTATGTCTCTTTCTGTTGGGGTCAGTAGTATGCGTTGAGTGATATATATGTGAGAGTTCTCTCTTCTGGCCTCCTGACTCCATTTTGAATGAAGTTTCTGTTTATTAATTTTCATAGCAAGAAGTTCTTTGGAGAAAAATAACAGGGAGGAGGGATGGGGAAAAGGATGGCCCAGGTGTTCTGAGGACTCAGAGAGAGAAAAAACATATAGATAAGGGAGAAAAGAAGGTCTCCTAGAATTGGTGCTGGGGCAAGAAAATGAAAATACTTATTCTAGATTTGCAACAAATTCAAGGGAAAAAGAACCTGGGGTTGGGCTTCAGAGGCTTGGCAGAGTTAAGCCTAAGGACTGATGCCCTAGCCATAGAGATCATCAGACTTGAAGCACAGTATCCCAGCACAGAGCCAAAACTTGTTTCCTTATAACTCCATTAGGTTGTGAAGGCAAGACTTATCAGGTCATTTTAGAGACGGGGCTACTGCGAAAGGGTGCAAAGAAGTGACATAGATAAGGTTATCTACTGATTAGCCACTGTTTAGTGGCAGAGCTGGAAATCCAGGTTGGATCTCTTGACTCTGGGACAAACTGACAGGGCCTTCAACATACCAGCCTATGTGGGACTATAACATGAGGGCAAGGATGTGGGGATAAAGAACAGTGGTCCCAACACACAAGCCCTGGGTGTGTTAGATGGATGGGGGCTGAGAGTCCAGGGTCAGGCCTTTGTTATCTTGTTTCATCCCTTTTTTCTTCTTTTTCTAGTGCTTTGCTGGAAAATGAGAAGAAGAAGCGTGAGTTGGCAGAAAAGGAGAAGGAGAAGATTGAACGAGAGAAGGAGGAACTGATGGAGAAGCTGAAGCAGATTGAGGAACAGACTAAGAAGGCTCAGCAAGGTGAGCCTTAGAGTATCTTTGGAGACTGAATATAGCCTGACTCTGAGCTGGAGACCCTTCTGCCTGAGCTGCAGACTCTATCTGCATAATCCAGATGTGACTACAGGATAGATGAAGGATGGGGCAAGAGGAAGAGTGCCCAGAGCTTTCTGCCAATTGTGCCCTAGGGTGAAACTTTTCCAGGAAAGAAGCTAGGTATCTCTTTTTTATCTCTGTGTTATTCATCTTTTCTCCACCTTCTCATCCCAGAACTGGAAGAACAGACCCGTAGGGCTCTGGAACTTGAACAGGAGCGGAAGCGGGCCCAGAGTGAGGCTGAAAAACTGGCCAAAGAGCGTCAAGAAGCTGAAGAGGCCAAGGAGGCTCTGCTGCAGGCCTCCCGGGACCAGAAGAAGACCCAGGAACAACTGGTAAAGCTACAAAATGGAATAGAATTGTGAGATCTGAATTTTCTCCCCTTTCTGCCTACCTATTCACAGCTACTTCTGCCTGCAGGGCTGGCTCTTTCCAGGAAGGTACTACTCTACAGGCCTCCAGCAGATAGTTCATTCAGAAGCAAGCTGAGAAGTCACTGGTGTGGCCCAGAAATCTTTGCAAACAGTTTTACCTAACCCTTACTTTAATTCTGTTTTATTAGCCTTTGGGAATCTGAGCTGATAACCTGACAAAGGAAAGAGAAGGAAGAAAGAAGTGAAGGGATTCACACTCGATTGACTACCTACTGTGTACTATAAGCTATGCTAGCAATTTTTCCCTTTCCCTTACTTTCTTACTCCTCTTCCATATAACCTTATAGGATTAACTCATATGCCGTAATATGCCCAGATAAGGAAGTTAGGTCTCAGAAAGGTTTAAGAGACTTGCCAAAGGTCACACAGTTGTGGCTGAGTAAAGATGAGAACCCATTTCTGCCTTTGAAGGATTTGCTCCCTAAAATTATATATGAAACTATGTGCCTGTGCATTTTTCTGTATGTGTGTGGGGGTGAGCATCCACACTTTAATTATAAGTTACAAGGGTTCTGTGACTCAGAAATTAAGAATCTATGGCCCAAAGCCCTTTACATATGCTCTTTCCTGTATTGTTTGCAGTGGGAGTGCAGGGTACTAAGATCTACTACTCAGGGGAAAGCTTCCTCTGGGTGATTTGCCCAAGGTGTGAAGGTGTGCATAAGCTTTTTTCCTTTGTTCAGATCACCTGTGAAAGTTGAGTGTCTTTCTTATACTTGTCTTGGGAAGAGTCTTAGTGGAGCCCTGAGCATTCTAGGATAACAGGGAAGGGTCTGCCACTTCAGGCAGTGATACAGTGATCTCTAAAGCCCTAAGTATGCACTGTTCAGTTGGAAGTACTGAGGACGGAGGGAAAGAAGGTGGAGAGGTGAGGAAAAGACAGAGATGGTATGCTGTTTGTCTTCAGGAGATCTATAGTCTAGGTAGGGAGCTCTGACTTATAAGGAAATGGTTTGGAGTTAATAGAGTACTATAGTAGATCTGAGAATATGAGTGTCCTTTGGGCTTCCTGGAGGAGATATGGTATAAAGAGCCTCAAAGACGACAAGAAAGTGGATCAGCAGGTTCCTATTGGTTCTCTGGGGGAACTAGAGTTGAAGACACTTGGGCCCTGAAGACCAGAAGGCCCAGCTTTCACAAGCTTCAAATTTATCTATAGGCATTGGAAATGGCGGAGTTGACAGCTCGGATCTCCCAGTTAGAGATGGCTCGACAGAAGAAAGAGAGTGAGGCTGTAGAATGGCAGCAGAAGGTAAGACACAGTGCCCAGAGCAAAACATCATGGGAGGGGGTACCACATGGATAAGTTCCAGTTCCTTAGATTCCTTAAGGTTGGGTTCCTTCCCCCTTCCATCCTCCCTTGACAGTGGGCATCATGGGAGAAGGAACTCAAAGCTTTCTCAAATAACTTCCCAGAATTCTCTAACATTCTAGAAAAAATGGTACAATTGTTCCCGTTATGTAGCTGAGGAAACTAAGGATCAGGCAGACGAAGTGACTTGGCCTACCTGGTGCTTGCCTCCTGCAGGACTGTTCTAGGCACATGTAGGATGCTGCAAGTTAGCCTCATCTGACTGTTGATCCTTCTCTCCCTCTGTTACTATACAGGCTCAGATGGTACAAGAAGACTTGGAGAAAACTCGTGCCGAGCTGAAGACTGCCATGAGTACTCCTCATGTGGCAGAACCTGCTGAAAATGAGCAGGATGAGCAGGATGAGAATGGGGCAGAGGCCAGTGCTGATCTGCAGGCTGACGCCATGGCCAAGGACCGAAGTGAAGAGGAACGTACCACTGAAGCGGAGAAGAATGAGCGTGTGCAGAAGCACCTGAAGGTATCTAGGCAGGGCCAAAGGTTCAAGGAGACCATGTGGTTGACTTAGTAGCCCATGGTCTTCTCTATCATCATGAGAGGATAAGTGGAGGATCCTGTCTCAGTGCTACATGGGAGCCTGAGCCTTTCTCAAGTGATCACTTTAACAATAGATATCCCTTACTTATTAATCAGACCTTGAGCCACCTCTTCCTTTTTTTTTTTTTTCTCCCATCCTCCACCCATACTCCTTTTACCTTTTATGTTTAGGAAGCACTTAGCTGACAATTCCTACCTGAATGTTTGGTACATTGTGCTACTCTCAGGGAATACTCGTCATCAGTTGATCCCCTAAGTCTGTGTTTTTTGTTTTGTTCTTACTCCACTGCAGTTCTAACAGGACTGGAAAAAGCTCTCAAAAATTTGTGGTTGTATGTGTGTAGAAAGGGGGAGAGGGGAGAGAGAAGGAGAGGAGGAAAAAACCTGGTTAAATAAGGGGACGTAAAATGAGAGGAAGCCATTAATCCCTCATCTCCTTGCACCCTCACAGGCCCTCACTTCTGAGCTGGCCAATGCCCGTGATGAGTCCAAGAAGACTGCCAATGACATGATCCATGCTGAGAACATGCGACTGGGACGAGACAAATACAAGACCCTGCGCCAGATCCGGCAGGGCAATACCAAGCAGCGCATTGATGAGTTTGAGTCCATGTAATGGGCACCCAGCCTCTAGGGACCCCTCTTCCCTTCTTCCTTGCCCCTGTACTCCTGTATTCTTGCCTAACTTACACTGTGCTAGAGCCACTAACTAGAGCAGCCCCTGGAGTCATGCCAAGTGTTCAGTGTAGCCATGGGACCAAACCTAACCCCTCAGCCCTCACTCACTTCTCTGGGCAGAGAAATGGCTCACTTTGGTGCCAATGGGACCATCTTCCCTCTCTGTCCCATTCAATCTAGTTTGCTAGAAGAGACCACTTCCCCAGCTCAGACACACTTCTCACTTGATTAGAGAAACATCCCCACATTTACTGTTGTTCTGCAGAAGTCAAGTATAGAGTAGGTTGAAAACCAGCCCCCACCACTGCCTTACTCTCAGGGTCCTGTGATTTGAAGAACTAGAGCATCACAGGGTTTAAGGAAGAAGGCAGGGCCCTGGCTATATGCTCTAAGATGTCAACCGACCTAGGATTAGGCCTCCCAGTGCCCATTCCTTCTAGAGTTATTTAGGCTTTGTAATGATTGGAGGCTGAAAAGATGTTCAATTATTCTCTCTACCTCCCAGATTGGGCCTGTTATAAACTCAGTCCCAATAAGCCTTGTCCCTGACTTCAGGGACTTAGTTTCTCCCCAAGTTGAGATGGGGGAGACAGTGCCTTCAAGAGGCTTCACTAACATCCTAGAAGGCTATTCACCCTTCTATTCAGGCAAGACTGGGTATAAGATCCTTCCCTCAATGCTTTATGGGAACCTAGACCTGTTTCAAGTGAGCTCTATGGGCAGAAGTCTCCCTTATTATTCTGGGTTCCTCCTCCCTTCTTGGGATTTACCCCTCCCCATTACAATCCCCAAATCCCCTCCTGTTGTAACAGTAGAGATTGGCACCCAGAAACTCAGCCCTATCTAAGACTCTTGCCAAAGGGAGGAAATGTTCACACCTGGCTTCAGTATTTTCCCTGCCAGGGGTCCTAGGCCACTTTTCTCATCAGAGCCACTTGAAACACAGCTCCAGCTTCAAGGCCATCCATGCCTTGGTGTGGTGAGCCCTGGAGCTTGATGTCAATTGGCTGAAGTAGTGAATAGATAGAAGCTGAGTGTGGTGAGAGAAGCCCATGACCTGGATCCCACAGTTTACTTGACTCCCTCGTGTACCTAATAATCCCTTCCCATTGCCCCCATCCAAGGTGGTGACTGGGCCCTGCCTCTGTTTGACAAACCTCTAACCCAGGTCTTGTCACCAGCTGTGCTGTCCCTTGGAGCTGTAAATCAGAGAACTGTTGGAGGCTCTGGCCTGGTCTCTTCTACAGCCCCACCCTTGCTGTCAACCCAGGAGCAGCCTCTTCCTCCTCTGTTGCATGTGTGCGCTTTTTTTTTTCTTTTTACCAGTATTATATATTCTAGTGGCATCTAACTCAATATTGATTTCCGCATTTCCTGCTAATGCACCCTTAGAACATATTAGTCTTGGAGCAGAATCATTTTGACCTCATTCCCTTACCACCCCCACACCTGGGAAGTATATACTATATGATAAGAGAATATTTTGCCAGAACATTAATGTAAGAAGCTTTCAGTGTTAGTGATGTCACCTGTCACTATAGGTCATACAATCCATTCTTAAAGTACTTGGTATTTGGTTTTATTCCTTTATTACCTTCTCCCCAGAGTTCAGTCCCTAGGGGGCTATACTGTCCCTGCAGTACCCCTAGCCCAGAGACCATGGCTTCTATCCCCCTCTCCTCTCCTTTACCCGCCTCCTGACCTTGGGGAGTTTTATGTGCATTGCTGTGAATTACATTGATATTCTTGGTGATATTCCCTATATTGGCTAAATTCAAACCTGGAATTGTGGGGCAATCTAGCTGCCCTAAGAGCAGTAACCCACCCCCAGGAGGCTGGGGAGAAAAGTTAGATTTTGTATTCATTTTTTTTGTGTGTGTTTTTTGGGTTTTTAAAATTTGTGGGGGTTTTTTTGTTTGTTTTGTTTTTGTTTTTGTTTTTGTTTTTGGAGGGGTTTATGCTCAACCCATGTTCTATTTCAGTACCAATAAAATTTAGGAAGACTTCACTGTGACTTGATCTTTCTTTGAGGTATGCATGGATGGCTGTAAGATACTTCACTGTAATTTTCACCCTATACACCACCTTCCCATTCCTGGTCTTGCTTCATCCTCACTTTATAGAGAAGGGAATGAACTCAAAAAAGTAGAATAACTGCCCAAGACACAGGAATGTTTGATTTAATAGCCTATGCCCCTTTCCATGGCTCCAGGCCAACTTTTCTACTGTTGGCAGGCTCTGCATTAACCATGTGATGCTCCTGGGCTTGAATGGCATTGGGGCCTTGGGGATACTTGTGAGTGGTGGTTTCTGTCTCTGGACTCCTGTGGTGGTCATGCGCTATTCTGCCTACTTTTCAGGAAGACCTCCAGGCTTGTCCACCTCCTACTACACTCATTTATTGCCATGCTAATGAAGATCAGATAAATTACCTTAATCGCTGTTGCAAAGGTGGTGGAGAAAAAAACTGTAAAGAGAGGGCGGAGAGTGTATACACATATAAAAGCTGCAGGGCAGTATTTATGGTTATAAAACATGTCAATTTTGAAGCCTAGATATGGTTATCTCAATTTTACAAATGAGGAAACTGAGATTTAGATAAGCCTTCCAGTCTGTTTTGAACCTGGCACACTCTCCCACCAGCTCCTTTCTTGGTGAGCAAATACTTGCAAAGAAAAGTAAGTTACATATTCTGTGAACTTTAAATTCTTACAACAACCCTTTGAGGCAGTGGCTCCCCAGCTTGTCTGCACATTACAATCTTAAAGATTCCAAAGCCCAGATCACATCCTCAGATCAAATTATAATCTCTAGTAGTGGGACACAGACTTCAGTACAGTATTTGATGATTACAATGTGCAGACAAATTTGGGATCCATTATTCTGAAGACATACGATTTTATCTCATTTTACAGATGGAGATACTGAGGCCCATAAGATGAATTAATTTGTCCAAGGTCACAGATATTAGAAGTAGTAGAACCAGGACATGAATACAGGCAATCTAGTTCATGAGCCTATGCTCTTAAACTATAGTATACTTTCTCCCTGTTCCCACCAGGGCATGGGGAGGACAGGCAGGTACTGGGAAGAGGATATACTTGTCCAGCTTCAATTCTAAGGTAGCAAATAGAATTCTAGGGCTCTAGGACATTAATGTAGGAAAAGGGCTTAGAAATTTCTGCCAATGATAGTCTCAACTGTTGTTGCCTAGGGGAATGAAGGAGCTCTAGGTCGCCTCCAACCTCAACCAGAGGATGTCTTCTTTTGTATGCTTTGTATATTAGGCTGTGTATGTGTAATTAATTTTTTTAAAGGGGAAGATAGGTGGACTTTCTGCTTCCAGGAACATGGTGTAGATAATGGCTCCTCAACGATGTCCATGTTCTAATTCATGGAACCTATGAATATATTACTTTGTGTTAAAAGGAACCTGGGGATATGATTAAATTAAGGATTTTAAGATAGATGATACTGCATTATGCAGGTGAATCCAATGTAATCATGAGGGTCCTTAAAAGATGGAAGAAGATCAGAGTCAGAGCTGAATGTGCTATGCTGGTAGCTTTGAAGATGGAGGAAGAGGTCACAAGCCAAGGATTTCAGGTGGCCATTACAAACTAGGAAAGGCAAAGAAACAGAATCTACAGAAGGAACACAGCACTTTCAACACTTTTGTTTAAGACCCAATGAAACCCATTTTGTACCTCTATCTGACTTCTAGAATTGTAAGGTAATACATCTGTGTTATTTTAAGCCACATTTAACATTGTTATCAACTCAAAATTCTCCATTTTTGAAATGACAATGTTGCAGATATGGAGAACATATCAGGTTACCAGCAGTTAAGGAAAGGGGTGGGGTGTGAGTAGTATAGTTATAAGAGAGCAACATGTGGGATCCTTGCTTTGATTCTATATCTTGACTATATCAAAATCAGTATCTTGGTTGTGATATTGTACTATAGTTCACAAGATGTTACCATTGGGGGAAACTGAGTAAAGGGTACATGAGATTTCTTTGTATTATTTCTTATAAGTTCATGTGTATCTACAGTGATCTCAATATTTAAAAAAATAAGAAAGGGGGTATTCTCCTGGATGTATACCAAAGATATAGTAATACTATTGGGAATAGCTCCAATCCAGAAACCACTGAAATATCCATCAACTAGAAAATGGTTAAAACTACAGTATATTTATAGAATGGTATATTGCTCAGCAATAGAAATAAACTAACCACGGATGCATACCACAATGATACAGATGAATCTCATAGGCATTATATTGTACCAAAAAAAGGCAGATACAAAAGAGAATATATTGTATAATTCCAGATATATAAAGTTCTAAAGCAGGCATGGTTGTCTGAAGCTGGGATGGGAGGAATTGACTGGAAAGGGGCACAAGAAAACCTGGGGTCATAGAAATATTCTTGGTTTGAGGGATGGTTACAGGGTATAAACATGGAAATTTATCAAGTTGTATGTAAATTACAACTCAATTAAAACGGGGAAAAAAGGGTGGCTTCCTCGCTGCAAAAGTTTGAAAATACCTAGAACAATGGTTCTCAAATTTTAGTGTATATCTGAATCACTTTGCGGTCTTCTTAAACAGATTATTGGTCTCCACTTCCATAGTCTCTGATTCAGTAGGCCTGAAGTGGAGCCTGAGAATTTGTATTTCTAACAAATTCCCAGTAGGTGGGGGTGGTGATGCTGCTGTTCCAGAGACCACACTTGGAAAGCCACTGCTTTAGAGTCTAAAGTAGACCAATACTTTCCTGGTACAGACAGAGTCTTAGAGAGAGAAGGGACTTGTGTTTGTCTAAAGTCATACAAGCAGTTGGACATATGGACCTAGAACTTCCTTCCTGGTTCTTCCATGAGCCGTCAAGGCCTTGGTCAGGTGTTCTCTGCCGTTCAAGAGTAGTGCTTCATTGCCTCCTTTCTTATATTAATTATGAGGCTTGGGCAAGAAGGGCCCAGAGAGATTCCTGGATCCAATCCTTTCTCCCAGTTTCATAGAGTGAGAAATCAAGACCCAAGAATCAAAGGCACTTGTCTATAGTCACAGTGGCAGGACTGGGCCTTGGAACTATTTCCTGCCTCTGCCCCAGACCTGTACAGTCTACCATGGGACATCCTTAGTGTCTCAACTGGTTTGCTTCCAATACTCTTCCTAAAGAAAGCTCTACCCTCACCATTTACATATCTGTGCACAGGTGGTAGTTCTTGAAGCTTTTAAGTTAAAATCCTAAGGAAACAGACCACATTACTTCTAGATCCTTTTCTAGAGATAAAACAAAGGGCTCCAAGCCTGTTTCCCTCTGAGAACATCCATTTCCTTCTTTAACCTAAAGAACATTCATAGCTCCTCACGATTTGACTTATCTTTCACTATTCATCATCTTCTATCTTCCCCCAGCACTTTACATTCCAAGCATAGTAGACCCCCACCAACCCCTCAACATCTCAGACTTGCTCATACCTACATGCCTTTGTAATAATCATAATTAACATTTACTAAGCACTTACTCTATGCCAGACACTGCTCAGTATGCTTTACAGTTATTACCTCATGTTATCTTCACAATATCTCTGAGGCAAAAGGAATTACAGATGAGGAAACCAAGAAACAGAGGGGATAAATAACTTGCCTGAGGTCACACAGCTTGGAGTGACAGAAGTGAGATTTGAATGTTTCTTAGCACCTCGAACTCAGAAAGTCTAATAAGCAAATATATTCTTTCTATTCTCACTCCATTCTGCCCATCCTCTTATGTCTCCCTCTCACATTGTTGCACTCATTTTCCCAAAATAAGAACCTAAATATTTTTCCTTGGCAATTTCCTCTCCTCGACCCGTCCTTGTTCCCAATCATCCTGCCTTCTGTTCTGCTTCATAAATATCTTCTTAATGCCACTATACTTATTCCTCTTCTACTGCTGGGACCATTAACCTGTCCTCCTTACTAGATTGCTAGTCAGTCTACCCTCTGCTGCCAGTCACCTGCTAGAAACCCCTACCCCCTTTTCATCTTCTTTGCTCAGCTTTTCCTACCAGGTTGGTCCCGGTCCTTTTTTCTGTTCTTATTTCTGTCCTCATTCTACTATCAGAATCCTTAACTATCCCACTGTCTGGATGGAATGGTCTTCCCGGAGAACTTGCAATGGCTGGCTCCTCATCATTCAGGTCCCAACTCACAGAGGCTTTTCCTTATCACCCTATCTAAAGTAGTCCCTACCTGTAATAACCAACACTTATAGCTAGATACTGTTCTTAGCATTTTATGTATTAAATCATCCTCACTATACCTCTAGGAGGTAAATACTGTTACTATCCCATATTATACATGAGGAAGGAAACTAAGGCACAGAGAAATTAAGCAACTTTTAAGTTGTACATCTAATAAGTAGCTGAGCCATGATTTGAACCCATTACCTATTTTATTTATCTTGTTTTAATCTTTTTACAACATTTTTTACTAACTAAAATGATCTCATCTATTTCTTAATGATTAGTTTGTTACCTGTCTTGTCCAACTAGAATATGAGCTTCACAAAGGCAGAGACTTTTATTCACAGCTGTATCCTCTGACATTGTCTGGCACATAATAGGTACTCAATGTTTGTTTGTTTGTTTTATCTTTTATTTGTTTATTCTTTTTTAAGTTTTATTTTTCGATTAGAGTTTCAATATATGTTGAATAACTATATAGCTCCTCCCTGGGAATGTGTGGC